GAAAGTAATCTTTTAGTTTTAAGTCGGTTTGAACAATCCGGATAAGCGCAAGTAAGTACCATTTTGATTAGCCGTCGTACCTACAATGACTGTGCACTGTGTAAACAATGAGTGACGTATACGCGCGAGAGATCACTTCCGGCCCTTGCGTAAACTACGCCAGAGCGCGTACACACCGCATACCTACATTTTGGATGCCCTGGGGGTAAGCAGATAAACATCACATTTTCATTTTTGGGTGAACCATCTCTTTAAATGGGTAAATCTTCTATACATTTTTTGATTCTTCATTTTCTTTTTTGACATACTCCAATTCTTGTTAAAACACACTATACATGCTTATTCTGTGCATTTTTAGCACTTTTCGTGTGAAATCATATTTATTTTGTACATAAAAAGTGTACTGTCACTTTAATAGAGCACAGAAAAAAAACATTGCTTCAGCGCTGCTCACGTGACACTCCTGCTCCCGGTGTGAATGCACTCATTTGTTAAAAAAATATGTGCCACACACACTTGTGGCGTGAAACTAGCCTAAATAACACTCTCAACAAAATTTCTATATTTCTTCAGAAATATTTCAGCAATATTTCTTTTACGTTCCGCAGCAGAAAGTTAGTCATACCAATTTGTTTAAATGTAAGTCAGCAGTACAGTACATGGGTACCAGTCACCACAGAAGCCCTTTCTCACCCCTAAAGTCAACAACATCCCACTGCCAAAAAAACCTCCACAGGGCAATGACAAGAGTCGCGACTAGGTGGTAAACCTTGTTCTGTCAAACTCTTGCAAAATGTTGCTACTGAGGTAAAGATGAGGCACGGAAGAATTTTGTGCCTTGCCTTCCATGGCTTCTGTAGGGAAGGGTACGGTTAGTGTACCCCCCCCCCCCAAACCAGTAAAGCGCAAGCACAAACTTACCTCACAGCCGACTCTATTGACTTCATTGGTCATGCCAGTCACAATGCTGAATACTAACCCTTAACCTGAACCTGAGTAACCTTACGTTTGATAGCGTTACTGTTTGTTGCAATTAAATCCCTGCCAAAAGTCTGGATTTTTAGTCAGGTTGACTTTGTGATAGGGTTGACCAATATCTGAGGGGAGGGATTTGTGTTTAACTGATATAGAAAAAAAATCACGTGTACGGTTAAATTAATGTTCCGACATTAAACGACATGAAAGATCCTATACTCATCATCCACACTTGATTAAAACATAGAATAGCGTACCACTTTGTTCTAGCTAGTCAAATTAAGTTTTTTGCTATGCAAAGCTAGTAGGCTAAGCTAAGAACAAATACACCATACAATTATTTTCTAGTATTTCTAATCAGGTTCAGAATTGAATACCCATGAAAAGTTGTCTTTGTTTTATGGAATTATGGAATTGCTTTGGTGTACAAAGGGGACAGGAACCAGCAGGACATTGTAAGATCCTGTTTAAAACTCTGCAATACTTGGATGACATAATTCAATAATATTGATGAAACTAAATATTGATTTGAGTTTTAATATTTTATTAGTTCACCAGACGCAAAGCTTCCATGAAGAAAAACTATTCCTAGTAAGCGTATAGTGCCGACTTCAGTTACCCGGATGAGCCTGTGTCATCGGTTTTTACCAGTTGCTATTGGGGGATAAAATACCGCTGGATGAAGCGATTGACCAATCAGAATCAAGTATTCCACAGAGCCATATATTAATAAACCATAACATTCTTGTAATGAGTTCCAGGAGCTTCTAGAATACCTTTAGGCCCAATCCCAATTCTATTTTATACCCCTTCCCCCTTGAAACAGAGTGTCACGGGGTAGGGCTGAAAATATTCCCCTAAGAAATGGGACAACACTACTACACCGTTACACGTCATCATACGTCATTGCTAGCTCCTACGTCAAAGAAAATGCGCCGATGTTGATCACAAACTCAGAAGTGCGGTAAAAGATAAGTTACCTGCTACCGGACTAGTATTTATGTCGCCAAATCAGCGGGTATCAATAAAATTTGTGGAACTATCGTGCAGTCAATAATATTAGCGAACTGTTATCATAGCGATTTTTTGCAAACTTTTCTTCGGAGAACATAACTGTACATATGAACACAAGATTGAATGCAACATAAAACAAATGATTATTTGTTAATAAAATCCTTATATATACCAAAACATACTTACTTTTGTAGGTCTCTCTGCTTGCTTGGGCAGCAATATTGCTATATCAGGGGAAATTTATCATACCCCTTCGTTGAAAAATCTTTGTTTGAAGGGCTATCTGGCCCTTCCCCCTACCCATATCCCTCCAGCCAAAAGAGAATTGAGACACCCCTACCGCTTCACGTGAACACACGAAACAAAGGGGAAGGGTTAAGGGGTAGAATTGGGACTGGGCTCAGATCAAAAATGCTTTGTCCTGTTGTGTAACACTCCCAAGATTAAATTTTCTCTCAATTTCCATTCACTGCACTACACCGGAAGTTGCAGTGGCCATTGAGGCTAAATGCAGAAGCGATCGTGCATAGAGTTCATTATGACATGTCGATTATCGCAAAATAATGTTGATTTGTCCCTCAATATTTAAAAAACGAAAATGTGGAAGGTTAGGGTTACCCTTAGGGGGTGTTTTCTTCTGGGAAACAATGTATGTAGCTTTCGCGAGACTTTTGGCAGAACAAGGGTTACCAGCTACGGAATCGACAACAAGGGGGGGATGTGAGAAACGGGGACAATTTTCTCTCAACACAGCAGATGGAAAGATGGTCACCTCTCTCTCACCACTGACGGCTCTCCTGTAGCCGTCATTCAAATGTGTGTATGTGTGTTAACCTTCGCCAAAGTGAAAAGCAGCCGCCGTCTTGTCATTATCTGCCCGTTTCCGGATGGCCTGCCCCTGAAGAGCTCCGACACGCTGTCCAATTAGAGGTCCTGTCAGAGTGATGCGTCCCTCATTTTCCTCTCTCTCCTTTGCCTTTGGATCATTGGTACAATTTCAAAATGGGGGGAACAAAAAAACAGAAGGGGTTGACATTGCAAAGACAGGTTAATTCAGCTCCATTCTGGTTGTGCAGGTTAGAGGTAATGGTGACAAGCTAATGTAAATGGTGCCATTACGGCACCCCAGGTCTCTTGCCGTTTTTTAGCAGGTACAGCTTGCTGCTTTAATACCTCAATCCCGCTTACCAGTGACATGTCATTTCTCCACTGGTTTCTCTTTGTGTCAGCGTTGTATCTTTACACAAGGTGTTCTGAGCAGAGACCTGTGTGAAAAGAAAGGGAAATGTCGGCAGTTTGATGTAGATACAAAGGGCGAAATGAAAATGTAGTGCGAGTAGAGATCCATGATTATGGAGTAATTTGTAGTTAATGGATTCATTTACAAACCGAGCACATTACAAATTGCTTTGTAAAGCCCGACCCAACCTTTGAAAGGCATGCTCTTTACCCGAGGTTTGTCCAATGATTCTCCTGCATTCGTTTATTTAATTTACAGATGCATCTCATTCATGTCTTTTTGCTATAGATTTACATTTTTCTGTGGTGTCAGGCTATCACTATTTGTCTGTGAAAGATGTTTATTGTTGTATACAATCATATTACTCCATGATTATTTTATTTGAATTGACTGGCGACATATTGTTGATTCCTTTCTTTGCATAGTTCATTGTTATTGCATAATTTGTTACTGCTTTTGAGTATCACAGCTCATGTTTTTTCAGAAGCTTTCAGTATATATTTTCAAATGGCACTGTCAACCTTTGCCGAGATGTCATGTATCCACCCTTTACAAACAGCGCAAGATGTTACAGGGACACCTAGTGGTGGCAAATATTTTGAAATCTTTCTCTGACCCGTTTAATGTCTGATGTTGTGTATTTTTTTTTATAATAATGAATCCATCCCAGCTTAAATGATCATTTTGTCTACTAATAGAAATAGAATATCAATACAAAGATGGTAAAAACTGACAGATCAAATGTGACCCAGCATTACCAACCTTTCTCTTCTTTCCGTTACCTCGATTTATTCTATTCCGCAAAATTTCTAAAATGTTCAACTTGATGTTGAATGGATTGAGCCGTTTCATAGTTATTTCCACCACACTGGCAACCCAGTTAGAAATGAACGTAATTTGAAAGACTGTTAATGCTTGTGTGTCTTCTATGTACTGGTTATTTCAGTGTTTCACTTTTTATTAAAAAATGTTTCGCAACATTAATTTTATGTTTGATTTTAACGTTTTCATCACAACAAACATGAAAAGCCCCAGACAAAACTACATCTCACGTAATTCAGTTGTAAGGCATGATTGAATGGCAATATTGTACTAATGACTGTACATTTTGTAAAAAATTTGTAAAAAAAAAAAAGAGGAAAATTAAAAGAATACACTAAAAGATCTCTCAATATGTACATTTTAACCCAAAAGCATATGCTGCTAAGGTGTGTACATTGCACTTGAGTTATAAGTGAATGTTTATGTGAATAAAAACAAAAATGTTGTGTTACACTTTGACTTGATACGGTTTGCTGTGCTGCATTTTTAATTTTTTTTCAAAAAAATTATTTTTTAAATAGATGCGCACACACTATCATTAGTACAATTCAATTGTAGATTCAACCAAAACGATGTGATTGTTGAAAGATATCTTCACTTTACTCTAAAGCCCAGCAGTGAATGATTTTGATTCTGTATCTCTTTATTATTAGTATTTGATGCCATATGTTTCTCCAATACAGCAAATTAAGTTGCTCTTAAATAAAAAAAAGTGAAATGGCTCAATACAAAACATTATAGCAAGTTAAAGACAACTAAAATGTTGGAGATCAGACTCATTTTTAAAGGACGTTCTGATGGGTCATATGCACTGTTGTAGCTGGATAAAAGATGAGCTGTTTTATATGCGTCTCGGCGTACATTTCACCTCTAAAGTCAAATACAGTCCATTAAACATGGGCATCACTAATATACATCACATCATAAACATCTTTTTGTTAGACCTAACAGATTTAACAGACTGTCTACGTGAAAAGAACTGACACTTTCCACCAAGACTCCTAGCGCAGTCCAATGTAGTTCTGGTGAAAGCCCAGTAATGCGGTAACGATACCAACTGTAACACACTTCCGTTTAAGGATTATTAATGAATGTCGAAAGTCATTCAATCGAGGCTTCTGTAGACACGGCTAAGCACAGTGGTTCACACATCACAAGAAGTCCAAAGTACATCAGAAAGCCTTTCAAGTGTCAGCAGATCACACTGAGCAAGGCATTGATATTTGGTCCGATGATTACCGACGAATATTACAATATCGAAAACTTGCTGCCGCAAACGACTCTTTCATATAAAAACTACAGTAATGAACAACATGTGAACTTGTTCTGAATTCAGATGCGTTGATTCAAATATTTACTTCTACACGACTTGAAAGCCCTTGAAATGGAAGTGAACATGACACGTAGGACTTCATAATCATTCAATACTTACAAAGGTCGTTTTCAATGGGGTGAACAAGATTACACAGCAATTATACAGCATTTTGCTTCACATATTTGACAAGAGAGGTGGGTTTGTCATGCGGCAATACTGACAGGCTGCTCGAATGGCGGTTCCAATCAGAACATCAAGGTAAAACGTAAATGTGATTGCTGATTTCCATTCACAAAGGCAGTGCGCTCTACGTTTCTTTTGCACATCTCATCTCTATAAAAAGCAAAGCAGAACTCTATACAAAAAAACAACTCTAAAATGCTAACGTAAAATAAAAAGTCATCTTTACAAAGAACATTGCATAACAAAAATAGCACTAAAGTGAAAAATTACTTGAATGTAACAGCAGCAGGCCATGTCCCGGTCTCGCAGGATTGACGAGTCTCCGTTTGAATCATGCAAACATGTAAAAACTGGGTAACAAGACTGGGAGGAAGTTCACCACACTATATGACCTCAGAGCAGACAGCGCAGGGCTAGATATGCAAAATATCCATGAAATTGAGTTTTGCACACACGTCAGAAGGCATGACGGGATGATGACCGCCGGCCAGCGACCACAGACACCAACTGGGATGAAAACCAGAGTCTTGTTATCACACACAACGTGAATGTGTTCTTTTAAAATCTACTGCAGGTGTGGCACTGACGGACGTGTTAAGCTTGTATGTGTGTAAAACTGAACCGTGAGCGTGTCACTTCTCCTGGAGCAGGGCAGGGATGTTGATGTTCCAGCCGATAGCCTGGCGGTCGAAGCCGCAGGTGAACAGATTACAAGCTTGGTTCTCCTCATTCCAGGCAGAGCAGCACACCATGCGCCGATGGCCCTGCGTGTGAAATGCAACATGGTTGTCAGGACACATAAAAAGGAACAGAACATGCTAATGCAATATTTAAAGGGATGTGGCTGAAAACTTAATGAGCTGCCTTTCTGCCGTCTGCCTTCATGGTTCGATATTAAAATGGACCCTTGCTAGAAACTGATTTGAGACGCTCTTCATGGGCAGCAACTTTGTTAACAGCTACTCATGCATCACATATCTCAAGAGAACCACATGTTCACTGTTGATTGTGGTGATTCGGCATGTAGCTAAGCTAACAATTGAAAACGTACATTACTTAAAAATCCTTGTTGCATTATGGATATGCTGGATGCACAATACTGGATATCATTATAATATGGGGTTTAAACAGGATATTTTATTAAAGTGATTGTTTATTGGTTGAAATCGTTTATAAATGTATGTATATTTAAACTTATATTTACAATAGACACTGTTTAAACAAAAAAAAAGGTATTAATATAAATATGAATTACAATAATTAAAGGGGTCATATGACGTTGCTAAAAAAACATTATTTTGTGTATTTGGTGCAATGAGTTTATGCGGTTTAAGGTTAAAAAAAACACATTATTTTCCACATACTGTAGATTATTGTTTCTCCTCTATGCCCCGCCTTTCTGAAACGCGTCGATTTTTACAAAGCTCATCGGTCTGAAAAGCGAGGTGTGCTGTGATTGGCCAGCTATCCAGTGCGTTGTGATTGGCCGAATACCTCAAGCATGTGACGGAAATGTTACGCCCCTCACCATACTGTGATGCTGTGTCCCGGCGCGATGAGACAAAACCATTAAAACCCATTATAAACGAGGCGTTTGTTGCATCCAGTGGAGACATAATTTACGGATTATAATTACTTATATTGTCTCCTTATGCGTTGCATCGCGCCGCGTATACATAAAACCATGTCTGCATTTATGATCGGAGAAACGACAAACAACAAGTGCTACTCTACACTGCTCAAAACTCGCGTTTGAATCATCAGTGGCAAATCCTTTAAATATGAAAACGAACATACAGGCTGTGAGTCAGCATTATTTGTCAGCATCATAGACTGTGGTCAGCATGCGCGCCGAAGGGGAAACGGGAACTGAATTCACCAGAACACCGGCATTGTAGGTTACTCTCCCAGGCAACAGTCGTCGTCCTCCATAAAATGCGCTGGACACATCTGAATATTTGGGTTGAAGTGTTCTGGAACAGTGTTGTAAATACAACTTAACCACTGATTTCTAGTCGTGTCCTCTTTTGGAAGACCAAACAAAGTAGTTTTGCTTTCACAACGAAGCACACAGCGTCTTCACGACATGGCGGCGGCAACAATACTACAGCGAGAATCAAAGTTACGCCTTCTTTCTTTGAGTGAACATTTGGGCGGCGTTATGCAAATCTTCCCACATCGTGACGTAGACATGTGGGGGCGTGTTAGAACAAGGTGTTTTAGGTAGGAGTGGTTGACTCTTAACTTTTATAAAGAATATCTCTTTGGGTTTGAGACTTTAGTCTTTGCAACTTCAGGGATCTTATGTATTCACGAACAGCTAGTAACAGTCCAAAGAGAAAGGAAAACTTGAAATCGCATCATATGACCCCTTTAACTTTAAATTCTAAAATAAAATTAATCTAAAATAAAATAAAATATCTGCTAAAAATATAGCCGCAAATAGGAATACATATGCCTAAATCTGATTATACATTACCATTCAAAACTTTAAGAGTATTATTTTTTTTTTTAAGAAATTAATACTTTTATTCAGCAATGATGCATTAAATTGTTCAAAAGTGACAGTAAAGAAATAAAATTACCAAAAAAAAAATGTCTATTTCAAATAAATTATGCTCCTTTGAATTTCCTATTAATGTACAAAAAATATTTACAAAATATGAAAAATATGAAGCAGCACAACTGTTTTTAACATTGATAAAAACAAATGTTGAGCATCATATCAGCTTATTAGAATAATTTGTGAAGGATCACATCACCCTAATATTTTAACATTAACATTTTAATATTCATATTTTAAATGCATTACAGTAGAAAACAGTTATTTTAAATTATTATAATAATTGTTATTGAAAGTATTGTTATATTGTATTTTAAATCAAATAAATGCAGCCTTTGTGAGCATAAGAAACCAAAAAAAAAAAGACCCAAAACATTTCAACAGTAATATATATTTATTCTGTTCATATAAACGTTATATTACTGTTTTATTGAAATGTTTTAGCTCAGTAAATTTTCAGCTAACAATGGACTGCCATATTTGTTGTGAAAAGGATATGTTCTTGAAAAGAAAGCAAGACCGAAGATGGCATAATAAGAAGATGCTACCTACAATTTGAGACACCTGAACAGGAATCGTAAACAAAAAGCTAGATTTTTTTTAGGCCCATATAATGAAAAATAATCAAAAACAATTCAAGGAACTGCCTAGTGGTTAAAGAGTGTGAGACAACTTGACAGACATGGAGCAAAAAAGAAAGGTAATGATGAAACGTACCTGTCTGTTGCTCCGTGGGAGACGGGCCAGACGGACCCCGCTCATGTCAAACAGCCTGACCTGCCTGTTGTCATGTGGCAGAGCGATGATTCTTTGGTTCGCTGAGACACTTATCCTGCAGATTAGGACAGTCAATAAACTCAATTATAAATAAATAAGACAGCATCTATTTACACCGTACATCTACGTTGACAAAGGCTATTTTTCACTCCCATCGGTTAGACATTTTAAAAATAGCATCTACTGCACTTATTATAAACAAATGCTAGACCAATTACTAAATGTACACAGCCAAATGAAAATATTATCCAAATCTTCCATAATATTCCTGACTCGGAAGTCTGACTTTACTTAATTCTTTCAGAATATCTTGCTGTTGATGCATAAGTTTCTCAATTTGCCAGAACTTTCTAAAACAGGCACGGTGTTGTCTCTGCTTGTTCAGAAACAACAGTCTCAGGAAGCTGTCTTACACCTCACCAACCTGCTGCTCTTACCTATTAACGGCTGAGTCTGTGCGGATGGTAGCAATCGGAGATCTCATGTTCTTCAAGTCCCACACCTTGACGGTGCGATCGTCACTTCCTGACACCACATTGTCCCCCACGGTGAACACGGCTGATGTCACGGTGCTGAAAGAAACAAACGGCTTGTCAACAAGACCTCTCTCACACAAACACATCAAACATGTTCCAATCACTAATTAACACCTCAATGCCAAAAATATCACCCTGAACAAACGCACGTGGTTTTCATGAAGTGCATGTAAGATACCTATACAGACTGTTCTGTAGCAAAGGTGAAGGACACCGATTTAAAGTGCCCCTATTATGGGTAATGAAAGGTTCATATTTTGGTTTTGGGAGTCCCCAACAAAAGGCTGACATGCATGCAAGGTCAAAAAACACTTTCATTGTCTTATAATATGCATTTATATTTACCTTATTTGCTCAACGACTCCCAAACTATTCGTTTAATGATTAATTTTTCCAAACCCCTCCTTTGCGTGACACTAATCTGTCCGATTGGTCTCATTTTCATTTCATCATGAGCCTGTAATGCCTGATAAAGCAGCGTTTGTGAACGCAGTGCTCATTTGTGTACAGCGTTACCGGGGAAACCACTATTTTACCACTCCAAAAGCGGCACCTAGTGGCAAAGAATGAATTTGCATTTTCATTCAGACCAACGGGAAAAGACCAACAAGTGGGCGGGCAATATGCTAATGTTTCATCTTGAAACGGCTTGGGATTAGTTTTAAAAACGACTCGTTTCAATGATTCAGAGTCGACTCTTTCTTTTAAGAGACAATAACTTTATACACGGTGCACTTTCAGATTTAAAACTTTGCAGGATGTTTTCATTCACTTAGAGCTATGTTACACGCTGCATGAAAGGTCATTTTCAAAAATCCATAATAGGGGCAATTTAATCCTGATCATGAGTCACTGCTGAAACTGGGGTTGTGGGACGTTGTTTTACTGAGCTGAGAATCTTGCTGTGTAATAATTGTGTTCTTGAGCGAGACTCTTAACTCCAAAACGCTCCAGTAGGTATTGTCCCTGAATGAAATGTGACGTAAGAGACGTTGGACGAAATATATTAGCAAAATGGCAAATCCCCTAAAAGTAATGCCAAGTTCACTCTGCACGATTTTCAAACTTGTCGGATCGCCGTTGTTTTCACACTGCGTGACTATCTGAGGTAGCAGTCAGTGGCTGCTGTGTTCATATTGCACGATAGATCGGCGACAGGGGTTTTCACACTGCATGACTTCACAATAGGAAGAATCGCCGACAGCTCTGTCTGGTCCGCAAATTACGTTTCACAACAAAACACACGAGAAGTGATAAGAAAATAGCGCGAGAACCCGCATGCGTCAGACAGTTCACGCTTTCTGACATCGTGGGTTGCCACCGGAAAGCAAGGGTGGGGGCGGTGGTGGGGCCGATAATAGATTAAAAGCTTGATTAAAATCCTATTACAACTCAAATGATATTTTGGGGATGTTCCGTTTCTCCTGGGACCACTGACAAGCAAGGTCGAGACTCATTAGAGGAAGAGCTGCATGTGCATTTAATAGCGATCCAGTGCTGGAGTATGAGCTCTTTAAAACAGTGGTTAAAGTACTTGCATGTGGTTTAAGCTCTTGCTGATGCTGGGAAATGTGTTGAAGATGGTTTGTGATGTATGAAATTCATCATTGTGAATTATAATTAGGTGTCAATCTCCATGCCCATGCATTGTATGGAAACAAGCACATGGGACAATAAACTGATGTTTTTTTGCGTTCAACAGAAGAAAGTCATGTGGGTTTGGAAAGACATGAGTGAACTGAACTATTTTTTTAAGATTAAACAATTAGAAGTAAGAAGACATTTAGAAGACGACAACATATTACAGGTTCTGTCCCCATGAAGTAACCTTGCATCAAGTGTCTCATAAATAAGCCCTTACTGGGTTCAAACCTCCAGCCTTTTGGCCTCCAGCCTGAATCTTTAACCGCCAGTCTAAATTCTGCTGCATTAAAGATTTGGAGTTGGGTTTGACTGTATTTAACAGCTTTGCTCGGCTCGCTCCGGCACAGTTCACATCCAAAGTGAAGCGTGGAAACGCTTTCTGACATCGTGGGTTGCCACCGGAAAGCAAGGGTGGGGGCGGTGGTGGGGCCGATAATAGATTAAAAGCTTGATTAAAATCCTATTACAACTCAAATGATATTTTGGGGATGTTCCATTTCTCCTGGGACCACTGACAAGCAAGGTCGAGACTCATTAGAGGAAGAGCTGCATGTGCATTTAATAGCGCTCCAGTGCTGGAGTATGAGCTCTTTAAAACAGTGGTTAAAGTACTTGCATGTGGTTTAAGCTCTTGCTGATGCTGGGAAATGTGTTGAAGATGGTTTGTGATGTATGAAATTCATCATTGTGAATTATAATTAATCTCCATGCCCATGCATTGTATGGAAACAAGCACATGGGACAATAAACTGATGTTTTTTTGCGTTCAACAGAAGAAAGTCATGTGGGTTTGGAAAGACATGAGTGAACTGAACTATTTTTTTAAGATTAAACAATTAGAAGTAAGAAGACGACAACATATTACAGGTTCTGTCCCCATGAAGTAACCTTGCGTCAAGTGTCTTATAAATAAGCCCTTACTGTGTTCAAACCTCCAGCCTTTTCGCCTCCAGCCTGAATCTTTAACCGCCAGTCTGAGTCTGAGAAACAGGAATAGGTGGGCTTGTCATCCACAATTTGCATGATGTCTCAAAGGAGACACCAGCTGTGATATTTCTTCAGTGAGAAACCCATTCTGACACATTCCCCAAGACAGCAGGTGTGTCTCCCTCTGTCTGTCTGAAATCGAGCACACTGGCATGCTCCTAAGCATCCTGACAGACAGATAGCAGCTCTGACAGGGAATGCCCTGCAGAACAAAGAGGAATGAGGCAGCGAACACCACGGTCCCTTGTGTACAGCGACACTCCTGTCATGTTTAATTTGTACCATCATTAGATGATTAGGAGGTGACATTCAAGGCCCTTTCGAGTGCCAACATGAACAAATTCACACTTTTCAATAAATTTTCCAATTCATGTCAAGTCAGGTATCGAATCATAAGACGAAGTCCAAGTCAAGTTCTCTTTTGGTCCCAAATACAAAACCAGGTTTTCCATTGACTTGGTTGAACCAGATTAGCCAATAATCACCAGATTTGTATGGCATGAGCATTGTCGGCATGAAATTCAAAACAAGATGGAATAGACTTCATGTACACATCTAGATATATTCAGCTGTTCGACACTAGATTCAAGTTTACATCTCTGGTCACACTCCAGTGTCCATAAGCACCAGCATTCACTAGTTGGCTCTAAAAGTGCCACTTTTTAAAGTTTTCAACACTTGTGCTGCTAATCCATATGTCGTAATGCTGTGCTCATGGTGTGTCCCGATGCTCTGGGTTAGCGAAGTGAGACAGGCATATGTCAGCTGAGCTAAACTTCACTCACTATTAGAAACTGTACAGTTTAAGAGCCTCAGTCTGCATAAAACAGACATGCATCTTGTTCTTACATAATCTAAGAGTAAAACATCTGTAATGTCTGTCCACAAAAGACCATTCAGATGTGTTCCACTGGTATTGGTGGTTTAAATCTAGCTACAGTGCTGTGGAAAAAGTATGTACACCCCATGAAAACTATAGGTATTTATCCACCACAATAAAAGGATTTGAAATTCACTGAAGGGTTCGTCCACCTAAAAATTAAAATTCCGATATCATTTTCTCACCCTCTTTTGTTTTCATACTCGAAACACAAGTGAAGACATTTGAATGAAACCTGACAGATTTCAGTCCCTCCACACATTCCATTCACCCAAAACTTTGACACTTTAAAAAGTTCATAAAGACATTATAAAAGAAATCCACTTGAGTCACTTGTATTCACATATAAACATGATGTGTGAGGTTTGTTTTTGCACATCATGCAGGCAATGTTTTTTAAGATTCTGTTTACCATATTTTATGTGATCTATGTTTGTACTTTGATCAATGTTGAATAAAAGCCTAAATTAAATGTCTCCATCATATAAAGTAATCATGCATCTTTAGAAAACTAAGATTCATGCACTTTTTGAACAGTCAAAGTTTTGGGTGCAACGACTTGAGTGGACAGACAGAAATCCCTCAGGTTTTATTAAAATATTAAAATTCATTTGTGTTTATAAAATGAATTAAAGACTTATGGCTTTGGAATGACATGAGGATCAGTAAATTATGACAGAATTTTCATTTTTGGTGAAACACACTGTGAAAAAAAGTATAATAAAAGACTAAATGAAATATTATCAAAGTATGTTTTTAGTCTTTCCAGTTAAAACATTTAAGTCAATGTTTTACTTGCTGTTTCTTTGTGAATATTTGTGAAAAGTGTTCTGATTTCTGTGTGTAAAGTATTTCAATGTAAATTTCATTTTTCAGTGTATCCCTTTAATAGACAGAGAATAGTCAAAAGACAGCATACTTTAACAAATTACATTTCAAGTGATTTGTAGAGTTTAAATAGAAATGCCAAGTTCTTGTCTGGAAAATGTTAATGAACCAAAAAAGTTCTGCATTTATCATTACATCAAATTATCATTGTTATTTGTTAAATTTGATCACACTGAACCATTAATACGATCGCATTAAGTTTCCAGTTTTATCAAAATGCCTACATATGTTGAAAAAGGACCAAATGTTTCATAGGGTGTACTTACATTTTCAGGGACATCCTCCAAAGAAAATATGGTTCATGAACACATTTTTGAAAAACAACTAAATATTACATTTAAAAACACAAAAAGTTGTATTTTAGAGTTTCATTGCTAAGGATGAAATATTATCAAAGTATGTTTTTAGTCTTTCCAGTTAAAACATTTAAGTCAATGTTTTACTTGCTGTTTCTTTGTGAATATTTGTGAAATGTGTTCTGATTTCTGTGTGTAAAGTATTTCAATGTAAATTTCATTTTTCAGTGTATCCCTTTAATAGACAGAGAATAGTCAAAAGACAGCATACTTTAACAAATTACATTTCAAGTGATTTGTAGAGTTTAAATAGAAATGCCAAGTTCTTGTCTGGAAAATGT